ATATAGATAGATTCATAATTTGTGAGAGTAAAATTGGATAGGATGGAAGGCGAGATTGAAAAGACGACGGCTTTGAAACTGATAGGCCCTAAAAAGGCATTTTTTTGGTATTTCGTGGCCATTCCTCCAGCTTTCTTGGCCTTGGTGGCAAAGGTCTACTACATGCTCAAGATACCGGCTAAGTATGAGATGCCTTTCTTTTTAAGCTTTTCATTATGTACCATGCTTAGTTACTTCACCGTCTTTCCTTACATGCTTGGTGGTCGTAAAACCAAACCCGTGAAGTTGGGGGGTCGTGTGAAGCTGTTGGTTGAAGTGGTGTTGGTCCTCATGTGTTTTGGGTTAGCTTATTATCTGAATTGGAAGGACGACGAAATTGCCATGTTAGTGATGGAAGGGGTTGGTATTCCTATCCAAGTCATGGCGATTCTCAATATCTGCACTGCGTTTGAGAATTTCGGGTATCTCGATGCCTTGTTGGCCGTGTTGATCAACCTCGCTCTAGGCTTCTCCTGCGCATACCCGCTTTTGGGACCCTTTTTTGTCGCCATCATCTCGCTTGCTCTTCACTTTGTCAAAGATGTCCACTTCAGACAACAACAATCAAGTAGCTCGCTCGCTCACGTCCACGACTTGTCGCCGGTTTAATTTCTTGGCTTATTCGCCTTTAAACAATAATTTTTGTTGTGTTTATTATTATTTGTCTCTACATATTCCTTCCCTAGTAAGATTTTATCCTTCCATAAGATTTTATTTTTACTTTTTATTTTTTTTTTGTGGAAAAAGGACCCACCGGTAAGATTATTATTTATTATTATTAGTAGTATTTCAAACTTTATCAATTAATGGAGATAGTTTCTAATTGATTTGATAAGCTAATAGGTGTGTTGATACTTGCATTATCTTTAGTTCTTGGTCATTGATGATTGTGATGAGTTAGTTGTGGTTTGTTGAGTTGGCTACACACAACACATGGACACTAACGTAATTACTTTATTATATTAACAAAGTAATTACACAAAACACAATACAAACCAAGATAAATACTTCACTTATCAAGACAAAAATACACACTAATTATTTAATTATAATCTCTACTACCAAACACACTCAATATTATTATAATATACTAACACTCTCACAATTCAAAATTACACACACGCCACTAACAACTCACATTCACTCATTGGACACACTAACAAAATGAGCCCCTCACTTATTTATAGGCACTAATGTCGGGGGAAAATATCAAAAGTAGTCCCACAACTATCGAGTTTTCCGATTTTGGTCCCAATGGAATGGTCTTTCCCAAAACTGGTCCACTAACTTTTTAAAATCCATCAAAAGCAGGACAATTGTGGTCCCCGATTTTTCGGCCCGGAGCTGTCGACGTGGCTTCACAATATCACACCTGGAAAATCAATTAACAGCGTGGTCGATGACATGGCTACTAAATCCTCCTTGGCAGATGACGAGGCACAGGGGGCGGGAAATCACAATATAATTGGGGAAAATGTCCCAAAATTGACAAAATCGATGTGCTTCATTTTTCTTCTCGCCCGCAGACAAAAAACCCTAGTTCCTTAATTCGTGACGCGAAAATCGCACACCCTGAAAATTTGCCAAAGAAGATTACATACCATTGAAGACGCACATGTTAAAGGCTTTCAGAAATGGGTTTCATGAGACCAAAAATGCACATAAATTTGCCTCCTCCGATGTATCGTGAGTTTTTTCTTTATTTTTACTGTTTTATAGCAAAATCGAATCTTGGCATGTGATAGTCTGTATTTGGAAGTAAATGGTGTGTGGTGTGTTTGTCATGTTGTATTTCAATGAATTATATTTAATGGTGACAGAGAGGACCACATGTTTGTGAAAGTTTAGACATGTTTATTTCTTTATTGTTGTGTCTATTTGTACTTATTCTATTTTTTGTTCTTTGTGTTTTGTTTATAATATTTCAGATCCTGATTCAGATAGTTTCTCATTAGTTGTGCATTGGGGTGGGAAGTTTGTTCATACTCCTACATCAAAATATGAAGGGGGGCAGAGGTTTATATGTGATT